ACCCGCAGGCGACCGCAGGGCACGTAGGAAAAACCATCAATGTTAAAAAGCATCAATTCTAGGTGGTGGGCACGTGGTACCTGCTTTATGATTTTATTATTCTTTGAACTTTGCTATATCTTTACAAATAAGATAAAGACGCTCTAACTAGGTCAGTCCATTTCTTCTGGTATTTACGTATTGGCCACCTGCTCAGAAAGGGCTCCGGGCGGCAACCTGTCCTGGCAGAGGATGCAGGAGGAGTCGGCCCCTCCCAGCAAGTACACATCCAGCTCTCACCATCTGCCCTGTGCTGGGCCCCGGTGCAGCCACCGACCTGCTATGTGGGCAACTTCCACCCAAGGCTCCCACGGCAAAGAAACACACAGGGGAATACTCTGAAACCACAGGGGAACAAAACCTCTCCTAGGGAGTCCCTCGCAGGCAGGAGGCCATCAGCGTGAGGACACAGCGCTTGCAGGGCCCTCTGCCTTCAGTGAGGACAAAGACACCTGTACGGACAGACCGTGAGGACTGAAGGGGCCGCCAGGATGCAGAGGCAGGGAGGGCTGGCCGCAGAGCCAGGTGGGAACCGGCAGGGACAGGTGCGGGTGCGGGGAGCAAAGAGGAGGCCGCAGGGCAGGGGGGTCAGGAACAACTGTGTCCTGAACCAGAGGCCAAGGACACCCTGCCTCTCTCCCAGGACAGCACCCTGTCCACAGGCTATGATGCAGCTGGGAGCAGGAGGCTGGCCGCAGGCAGCCGCGGGTCCTTCACGGAGCCCTCAGGTCCCTGCCAGGGCGAGGCCGGTACGGGAGGCGGAGAAGAGACCCAGGCCTTAGGGCTGGAAGAAGTCGCCACGATCAGATATCAGTGACCTGGGTAAGGAGGCTGAGGGGACACAGGTTGGGTAGGGTTACTTACACCTCTTAAAATAGACCGCGGTTTCAGAGGGCCTGGACAACTAGAGAGAGGGCTCGGCACTACAGGGCAGGTGGGAGGCAGGACACAGAGACAGACCTGTCGCCGGAGAGGGGACCGCGAGCTCCGCTCTTCAGCAGGGAAGCGCCGTGACCCTCAGAAGCAGAGGCGAATGGAACCCACAGAGTATTCTCAGGCTGCGCGCGCGGTGCCTCGGGACCCAGCAGAGCCTGGACAGATGACCTCTAACTCCCACAGCCCTGCCCAGGCCCTCGGTGGTGCTGCAGGAGGGACGTGAGGCAGAGGAAAGGTTAGCCAGGGTTTAGCTCATTGTATGAGGAGGGATGAGGGAGGTGCTGGTGACAACCACGGGACACGAGCTAGAGTTACACCAAGCGTTCAGGTAACTATAAGACGACGGGACTGGCCCCAGGGGGAGTTAACACAACACAAATCTACTAAGCTGACAGCATTATAGAATAATAGGCCAGTGTTTGTTTAAAGGAGGGAAAGAAGGAAAAAGAGATTGTCCGGTCTGGCTATTACCTACTTGGGTGACACTAGTTTGAGTCTCTTTTCCTTTATGTTTTGGTTAAACTTTTATTACGGAAATTTCCAAATCTATTCAAAAGTAGCCAGAGCAGTATAATAAGCCACCACGCACCCATGCCCTCAGCTTTAATAATGATCAACATTTTGCCCTAGCCGGTTTGGCTCAGTAGATAGAGCATCGGCCTGCAGACTGAAGGGTCCCGGGTTTGATTCCGGTCAAGGGCACATGCCCGAGTTGAGGCCTCGATCCCCAGTAGAAGGCATGCAGGAGGCAGCGGATCAATGATTCTCTCTCATCGTTGATGTTTCTATCTCTCCCTCTCGCTCCCTCTATGAAATCAATAAAAAATATATATTTTAAAAAGATCAACATTTTGCTAATATTGTTTCATTTGATCCATTTTTTAAAAGGATTTTTAAGGCAAATCCCAAACATCCTATCATTACCTCTGAGGCCGGTCCAGCTCCAGGCTCCCACAGCCTGAGTGCGCACCTGTGCGGGGGAGCAGGTCGGACCAGAGCACACACCGCCTCCCGCCAGCTGCGTGAAGGGCTAAAGCAAGAAAGCCAACTTAAATATTGATTTAGCATGGCCAACTAGCATGGCATTTAATTGTCATGTGAGAAAAAGGTCCATGTACTCAAATTGCAAATATATATTATGTTCCCAATCTATGTCAACACCGAAAAAACAACCATGTCCTAATGAGGTTTCTACACTGTCGAGTTTTGGGTCCAAAAGCAAAGCGCACTCTGGATTTCACCTGACTCACCCAAGGTCAGAGACCACGAGAACAAGGCTCACAGCCTCGTTTCACAAAGCAGTTCGCTTCCCCTTCACTGACAAACTGAGTCTTCTCCTTGGAAAAATGGTAGAGAAGGAGGTAATTTTCTGATTCCCTAACCTTTCGACAATGCACCCAAAGCAATAAGTAAAATGCATCCCTAATATATAAGTGCATTTACATATAAACTATGTACACATATTTCTATAAAATATAACTTTAAAAAGAAAGCTAAAAAATAAGGATCGACAGAAATCCTAGTACATCCACCCTGCACTCTAATGGATGGTCTACCCCCACCCACCGGGGGCACACCCCCCCCACTGTGGGGACGGCCCCCCATCTCCTGAGCAGTACCTGCAACCTCTCTGATCACTTGTCTCTGGCAGCTCCCAACCATGGGCGCAATAAACAGCACTGCTAACTGGGCCGGGGAGCAGCGCCTGCCAAGGCTGCAAACAGGCTTTCCATCGGGAGGGAGACAAAGCTATTCAGCATCGCCCCACGATGGAGGGAAGAGTGCAGGACCTGTCTGTGACTGTCACCTGCCCAAGTGGCCTGCGGCTGCTCTGGAGGAAGGAGAATCGTGGCCCTGGGGCCACAGCAGCCTCATCTGAGGAGGTGTGTCCTGGGGACCCCACAGCTGCAGCTCCTGCCTCAGGGCTGAGCACTGTCTGACTGCCTGAATGCTAAAGAGGCCCTGGCCTCGGTGGCATTCGTCTCTGACTCATGTCAGCAGAGAACACACTGGCACTGTCCTCACAGTCTAGCCTGTTTCTGGGCGGCTCAGCCACACCCTCTGGATCTTGGTGCCATCCTCAGTGAGGTGGTTGATTGGACTGCTCGACAGGCAAGGTCCCTGCCAGCTCCTCACCAGGCCATCTGGGAAGCCGAGTGAGGCACAATGTGGGTAATTGTCCTACAGGAAGAACGAACAGCTGTGGAGGCCCGGAAACAAGGTGTGATTCTAAGTAGGAATACCAGGTCAACGAAGACTACAGTACAGATATGTAAGATTATAGAGAACTTGACACTGATCTCCTCCCCCTCCCCCTGCCCGCCCGC